TTCAAGAATAAAAGTAGGTTGAAAGTAAAAAGACGGAAAAAGATACCAAGCAAACAGCAACCATAAGAGCTGAAGTGTCCATACTAATATCAAGACAATTAGACTTTAAGACAAAAAGTGTTAATGGAGATAATCAGAAATATTTTAGAGTGCTAAAATATCCATTTATCAGGAAGATATAACAATTATAAACATATGCACCTAAAACAGAGTCCCAAACTACATAAAACAAAAACTGACAGAATTGAAGAGGAAAATGGACAATTCAACAATAACAGTTAGAGACTTCAATACTCCATTCTAAATAATGGAGAGAACAACTAAACTCCACAGGGATACAGAACACTTGAACAACACTTGAATAAATCAGCTAGTCCTAAGTTACATCTATAGAGCACTCCACACAACATGGAATACATGTTCTTCACAAGCCCACAGGGATCTTTCTCCAGGATAGACCATAAAACAAGTATCAGTAAGTTTAAAAGGATTGAAATCATACAATGTGTGGTCTCCAAACACAATGAGATGAACTTAGAAACAACAGAAGGAAATTTACAAATATGTGGAAATTGAACAACACACTCCTAAATTGCCAGTGAATCAAAGGAGAAATCACAAGGAAAATCAGAAAGTTTGTGGTGATGAGCGGAAATGGAAGTCCATCATACCAAAATCTAGGACATGCAGATAAAGCAGTGCTTACAGTAAAATTTATAGCTGTAAGCACTTCAGTTTGCTCAGATCAGCAACCTAACTTTCCACCTTGAACTATAGAAAAAAAAGAGTAAGCTAAACCCAAAAGCAAGCAGAAGGAAGGAATTATTAAAGATGAGAGTGAAAATAAATGAAACAGAAAACAGAAAAACAATAGAAAAAATGTAATGAAACCAAAAGTTGGTTTTTTGAAAAGACTCACCAGATTGACAAACCTTTAGCGAGACTTATCAAGAAAAAAGAGAGAAGACACAAAATATTAAAATGAAAAATAAAAAAGGGATATCACTATCAACTTTACAAAAATTAAAAGGATTAAAGGGGAATACTATGAACCACGTATGACAATAAATCAGACAGTTTACATGAAATATAAGAATTCCTAAAAAGATACAAATTACCAAAACCAACCCTAAAAGAAATAGAAAATCTGGATAGATAAAGATAAATTTGTAATTAAAAATAATCCCACAAAGAATAGCCCAAGCCCGGATGACTTCGCTGGTGAATTCCACCAAACGTTAAAGAAGAAATAACAATCCTTTACAAACTCTTCCAAAATATGCAGGATGAGGGAACACTTCCTGATTTGTTATATGAAGCCAGTATTATTCTGATATCAAAGCCAGTCCACGAAATCTCAAGAAAACTAGAGACCAATCTCTTTCACAAATATACATGCAAAAATCTTTAATAAAATATTAGCAACCAAATACAGCAATACATAAAAAGGATTATGCAACATGACCAAGTGGGATTTATCCCAGAAATGCAAGATTGGTTTAACATCTGAAAATCAATTAATGTAACACAATGCTAAAAGAATAAATTTTATTTATTTATTTATTATTATTTTTTAAAGATTTTATTTTTCCTTTTTCTCCCAAAGTCCCCCAGTACATAGTGATGTATTTTTAGTTGTGGGTCCTTCTAGTTGTGGCATGTGGGATGCCGCCTCAGCATGGCCTGATGAGTGGTGCCATGTCCACACCCAGGATTCAAACTGGCGAAACCCTGGGCCGCCGAAGCAGAGCGAGTGAACTTAACCACTCGGCCACGGGGCCGGCCCCAAGAATAAATTTTAAAATCACACAATCATCTCAATGGATGTAGAATAAGCATTTGACAAAACCCAACACTCATTCATGATAAGAACTTTCAACAAACAAAGAATAGAAGGGAATTTCCTCAACCTGTTAAAGGCATGTACAAAAAATGCACATCTAACATCATACCTAATGGTGAAAGACTGAATGCTTTTCCACCAAGATAGGGAACAAGACAAGGATGTCCACTCTCACCAACTCTACTCAACATTGTACTGAAGATCCTAGCCAGTGCAATTTAGTCAATAAAAAGAAATAAAAAGCACCCAGATGGGAAAAGAAGAGGGAAATACTGTCTTGATTCACATTTGACTTAAATTTGTATGCAGAAAATTTTAAGTCTTCTTGTGGGGAAAAAAGAGACTAGGAGGACCCCAGCAACCATCACCACTGAGGATCCCAACAGCCCTCGAGCTGCTGTGGACACCCACATTGGCTGCCAAGGACCCCACAGTCTTCACCAACGGTGACTTCAGCTGATGCAGCTGCACAGAGACTGGGCCTCTGTGCCTCCCCAGAGCCGGAACCGACCCCACCAGCCAGGGCCCCAGCATCCACCCACAGGTAAAAGTCTTTCCCCAGCGAAGCCAGCCCATAAAGTCTGGAGATGACTGCTCTCTCAGATGTGCAGATATCAGTGAAAGGCTACAAGAAACACAAAAATCAAGGACACATGACACTACTAAAAGAATACAATAATTTTCTAGGAATCGACCTCCAAGAAAATTCTAAGGAATCCACAAATAACTAATAGAACTGAGTCCAGCGATAATGCAGAATGCAAGATCAGTACACAAAAATCAACTGTATTTCTACATGCTAGCAATGAATAAGCCAAAAATGAAATTAAGAAAATGACTCAATTCATAAGAGGATTAAAAAGAATATAAAATAAACAAAAGTAATAAATTACAAGACTGTACATTGAAAACTAGGAATGATTCCTGAAAGAATTTAAAGAAGATCTAAACAAATGGAGTGACCAAATGGAGTGACATCCCATGTTTGTAGATTAGAAAACTCAATATTATTAAGATGTTGATACTCTCCAAATTGATCTAAATATTTGCTTCAATCTCTATCAAAACCCCAGCTGGCTTACTTTTTTGCAGAAATTGGCAAGCTGATCCTAAAATTCCTGTGGAAATTAAAAGGACTTAGAATAGACAAGAAAATCTTGAAAATGTAGAACAAAATTGGAGGATTTACAATTCCCAATTTCAAAACCTGCTTCTGATTAGAAAGCTGCAGAAATCCAGACAGCGGGGTACTGACATAAGGATAGAGATGTCAACGGGACAGAACTCACAGTCGAGAAATAAACTCATACTTCTGGTTAACTGACTTTTGACAAAGTTGGCAAGACAATTCAGTGGGGGAAGGAGATTCCTTTCAACAGATGGTGCTGAGACAACTGGATATCTACATGAAAAGAATGAATATGGACCCTTACCTTAAAAATTAAGCTATACAAAAATTAACTCAAAATGGATCATAGACATCAGAGGTAAAACTCTAAGACTCTTAAAAGAAAACAAAGGAGCAAATATTCATGACGTTGGGTTAGGCAATGATTTCTTAGATATCGCAAGTACAAGCAATAAAATCTTTTATATGATAAATTGGGCTATGCATCTGTGGATGGGGCTCAAGTACAGCCAGCATATTCTGGACTGACTCCTGATTGGTTCCAGGAGTGGAGAGGGTGGGATTTATTTATTCCTTTTACGTAAACATATCAGGAGCCCACTGCACACCAGGCCCTGTCTGTGCTGGACTGGGTCAAGTGGTGACCCAGACAGACAAGGCCATGGCTCTCTTGAGGTTACAGTCCATGGCAGAGGCAGAGGATAAACACTGAAATAAATAAATGAGGTGGCTTCAGAGCTGACCAAGGGAGTAACTAGAACAGCAGAGGAGAGGGAGGGTGACATGAGGTGGAGGGTCAGGGAAGCCCTCTTCGAGGAGAGCACATTTGAGCTAAGGATAAATCCAGTGTGAGAAGATCTAGGGGGAAAGTTCCAAGCAGGAGGAACAGCAAGTGCAAAGGCCCTGAGGTGGGAAGGAAGTGGTGTGTTCCAGGACAGTGTGGCTGGAGTGTGGTGAGGCAGGCAGGCAGGAGATCAGAAGGTAGGAGGAGACCAGGCAGGGCATGAACATCTTGGTGGGGATTTGATTTTATTCCAAGCTCTGTGGGAACCTGTCAGAGGACATAAACTGAGGAGGGATGTGATCTGATACACATTTTCGAGGTTCTTTGGCCGCCCTGAGCAGAATGGAGAGGGGATGCAGCAGGTTCCCACTCTTTTTATAGGTACAGAGTCTGGAGACCTCATGCCTAGGAAGAAAGGGACAAGGCCCAGATTGTGTGGGCTCTGGGCATGGCAGGGTTGTGTTTGGAACAGAGAAGATCCCCAGGGAATGTCAGGTGAGAACAAGTCATGTGAGACTATGAAATTGTGTGTGTCCTTCTGTGTGTGTGTGTGTGTGTGTGATATGTTGATGGACTCACCCGTGCCCTTTGCCTCCTAGGAAGTCATTGACCCTCTTTGCCCAGTAGGATGGGCACTGGAGGTGGGGGCTGAGTAGGACAGCACCAGGGTGTCCTTGCCTCTACAGCTCCAAACAATGTCACGGGCCATCAAAACAGAGCCCATATGCAGTCTTGCAAATACACAATCACAACCAAACACAGTCATGAACTTATCTACATGAAAAGCACATGTATTTCTCTCTCTCTGTCTGTCTCTCTTACACATACACACACTCCACAAACCAGCAGATCCCTCTTCGAATTTCTTGGTTCTAAAGTTTTCAAGATTTCCTCTCCAATAAAATCCCCATTGTAAAGAGCTAGAGGGAATAAAAGCAGTTAAACCCACTACTTTATGGTGACCCCTTTGGGTGAGCGAGCGGTGACTATGACTGGCTCAACAACCTCTTGGCTGGTGGGAATCCTGCCTGGAGGGTCTCGTCACTAGAGAGTCCTTTGCCTGGTGGGTCCATTGCTGATGTGTCCCTTGTCCACAGAGTTTCTTAGCGGGAGGGTCTGTGACTGATGTTCCCCTTGGCTTTGCCACGTCAGCAGAGAAAGATGAAAGTATGCCTGAGGAAAGCTCTCCAGATTCTGCATATTCTCATCCAATTGGCTCAAACAGAAAAATGTTCAGTTCTAGCCCAGTTATTCTTCCTCTTATTTATCCGGTCAGTGGTGATGTGACGGAGATGTGATTTAATGAAGGAACGTGGTGAGAGAGGGGAATCATTGACGACCGCAGTAGGGACAGCGCCAGGGCTGAAGGCCACAACCCCCAACCCCAAGTCCCTAAGATTAGGACAGAAGACAATGCAGGGAGTGGGGACTTTAGGAAGGGGCTTTGGGTGTGTGTGTGTGTGTGTGTGTGTGCGCGCGCGCAAAGGGCTCAGGTAATGACCAACCTTGAGAGAGATGCAGAGGGTTTGGACTCCCCAGACCTCCTTCAAGGGGTCTTGATTGACTAAATGTCACAAGGGATCTCAAATTCTCTCCTTTTAAATACGGGCCGACATCCAGCCTTTTTCTTGAATTTTAATTCCTAATCGGCTCATTGATTATCCTTGGCAGGGCTCTCAGCATATTTCCCATTGGTGATTAGCTGTCGACGCTAGGGGATGGGCCTTAAATGTGCCCCCTCCACGCGGGCTAGATCACGTGGCTGGGGACTGTTAAGTGAAGCCATGGGGGAGTGGGAAGGATCAGGGCCGGGGTGGCGAAGGCATGGCTTCAGGAGGCAACAGAGGAAGCCTGAAGGCGCACTTCGAGAGGGAGGGGCCAGCGTCCTTGAGGAAAGGGGCGGGGCTTCAGGGAAGAGGGCGTGGCCACTAGCCGTTAGAGAGCCTCCCAGGCTTTGCTCTAAGAGGCTGGGGAGGTGAGGGAGAGCAGGAGAAAGGCCAGACTGACAGCTGCTGGGGCAGTGAGATGAGGGAGCTCCGTCAGAGTCTCCTGGAGGGCTTCTTACAACAGTTTTCTGAGCTACAACCGCAGAGATTGATTTAGTGGGTCTGAGGTGAGGCCAGTGAATTTGCGTTTCTAACAAACTCCTAGATGTCACGCTGCTGGTCCGGAGACCACAGTTTGAGATCCCCTGGGGGAAGCCCCCTGTTTCGGCAGGCTGCCTGGGGAAGAAAGAAAAGAAGCAGGGCTCCAGTCTCTGAGATTGGAGAAGACCCATGGGCCTGGGGAGAACCAGGGGCAGCGAAGCTATTCCACACCCCCACCAGCAGAGCAAGGTCTTAAATCCACCCAGATCCCACCTTAAAGCTGCCTTTTTAATGGAAAAAAAAGAACTACAACTGTTTGACTATGAATAACTTTCAACTTACTATTGGCTGTGATTTCTTGGTAACCATTTTGCATGCTAGAGAATTCTTGGAATGGAGAAATCTGACATCCAAGATGTTTTCCAAGGGAGTCTGCATTTTTATACATACTAAATTTAACAATTGACCTAATGATGAAATTGGTTATTATTACATTCAATAAATCAGGTTATTATGACATTTATTCAAACTTTTATTAATTCTAAATATTCAGTCAATAATTGTGGGGCCAAGTTGTGTGTGTTTGTGGCTTTTGTTTCCAAAAGGTAATCTTTGATTTTTAAAAACAATTTATTGAAGTATGACATGCATACAGAAAAGTGCACATCATAAATGTACAGCTCAAATCTTCTCGAACTGAATACACACATGTAACCAGCATTCACCCCTCCCTCCCCCATCCATGTGCCTCTTCTATTCTCTGCTCCCCAAGGGTAATCATCAGAGACTAGTTTAGCCTGCTGTTGTACTTTCTACAATATGTGTCTGCAGAAAGCTCCTTTTGCTCACCTTTAAGTCTGTGAAATTCATCCACGTAGCTGTAGGTAGTTGTGGGTCATTCATTCCCATTGCTGTGTGGTATTCCATTGTGTACATACACCTCAATCTATTTTGGCATTCTACTGTTGATGGGCATTTGGGTAGTTTCCAGGCTGGGGTGATTATGAATAAAGCTGCTATAAACATTCTAGCACATCTTTTGGTGAATTTATGTATGCGTTTCTGTGGGTATAAATCTACAGATGGAATTGCTGGGTTATTGGAAAAACGCTTTTCAGATTCTGCTCTTGACTTTTCCATAGTTGCCATGAGAAAATCATCACCTGTCCACAGAAATCAGCAGCCACAATCCGGGCTGCTGGTGTCCAAGAGTCAGGGAGCAAGCAGCTGCCTTTGAACATTCACTCACTCCTCCAGCCTTCTGCCTTCAAACTTCCAGAATTACATAACTATAATTTAGAGAGACTGCTTACTCTAGATGTTGCTTTTCTTGCTGTGTGGAGGGACAACAAGCAGGGGCAAACAACCAGGGCTCTGTGCTGCCTGGGACGCTCATGTGGGGCTCAGCCATCCCCCAGCTCCTGACATTCACCTGGACTGGCATGGACTGCAGCCTGGCCTTGATCCTTCTCCAGTACAACTAGAAAAGCCAGCTAATCTTCCCCAAGTTTAGAACTTAACACATGTATCCTCTGAACATAAATTATTGGAACAAGATGGACTAGGAATTTGAAATAATCATGGTCAGTACACTTAAGGGGATAAAAGAATATCCTAACAACATGAATCAAGAATAATAAGTCTTCAGAAAACCAAGTGTTAATAAATAACTATGAAAAATAGAATTGGAATAAAGAACCAAAGAGATGGGATAAAGAGTAGGATGGATACAGCTGTGTTGGAAAGTCAGACAGAGGAACTCTTCCAGAAGATTAAAAAGGCAGAAAGGGGATATTAAAAGGCAGTAAAAACCCCCAATAACCAAGTAATATGGAGGATGGACATAGAAGAGTCAACCTAAGTTTGCTTCCATTTCAGGGAGATTTAGCGGAAGCGGGAAAAGATTGCAAGTTTTGATTCTGCACTGTTGAACTAGAAGTCACTACTGAACTTCCAACCTCAAGACCTATTCCAAGCCTTTCCCTGCTGCTAACAGCCACTCCAGGTTAGTGCCAGCCCTGAACAATGGTGACAGCTGCCCAACTGTCTCTTTGCTTCAAGTCTGCCCCACCCCACATCCACCCTCCACCCAGAAGCCAGACTGGACTTTTAAAAAATATAGACCATGAGCCAGTCCTGATAGTCTAGTGGCTAAAGTTTGGTGTGGTCCACTTCAGTGGTTCGGGTTCGGTTCCCAGGCACAGAACCACACCACTCATCTGTCAGTAGCCAGCTGTGGAGGTGGCTCACATAGACACACCAGAAGGACTTACAACTAGAATATACAACTATGTACTGTGGCATTGGGGGTGGGGGAGGAGAGAGGAAGGTTGGCAACAGATGTAGCTCAGGGCTAATCTTTCCCAGCAAAAAAAAAAGAGAAAAGAAAAGAAAAAAAATACAGACCACAGGATATGTCTCCCTTGTTTAAATCCTCCAATGCCTTTCCTTCACACTTAAAATCCAAACATCTTCCTATGGCCTACAAGATGTTGGAACATCTGGCCACTGCCCTGTCTCCAAACTCGTCTCTTAACCCTCTCTCATTGCTAAACTCCTCAGAGCCTTTGCACTTGCTGTTCCTTCTGCAGGGACTCCCTTCTCTACATCTTCAATGCAGAGGCATCTTTCCATCCTACAAATCTTGGAGTATCCCCATCTTCAGTAGCACCCACCTATTACTGTCTCATCACTCTATTTCCTCTGTAGTGCTTACTCCCATCTGAAATTATCTTATTTACTTATTCCTTGTTTATTTTCTTCTCTTCTGTGGGATAATTTAAGCTCTATAAAGCAGGAATTTGTTCTGTCTTGTTCAATGCAGCAATCTTGGGCCTAGAACAGTACCTGGCACACAGTAAGTGCTCAGTAGATGTTTACTGAATGAATGAATGAAGCCTGAGGGAACACACACACGGAGAAAAAGAAGGATCATCCAGAAGGCGTAAATCTCATATGATTTATTATCCTCAAAAGTGCCAGCGGAGGGGAAACTTTGTCTAGGGACAGAGTCAGGGCAAAGCGTCTTCAAGGGGCAAGGAGGGCCCTCCATCCCTGGCATTCTGAGGGAGAGGGGACCAGGTCAGCCTCAGGGTCTCCTGGATTGTGGAGGCATCTGTCACCAGGCACAGTGGATGGAGGGAGTGAGGAACATGAACAGCAGTCCCAGGGTGACACTCATGATGCCTGTGGCCAAGGCCATGTTGGAATTCCTCTCTGCCCTGACTCTGTCTCCACAGCCGTTGGCATCCTGGGTCTGCAAGGATGGGGGAGGTGGGTTGGGGGGAGTGTAGATGGAGGAGCTGAGCCAGGGAAGAGAGGAGTCCTTGGCTGAGGTTGGGCTGAAGAGAAGTCAGAGGGGCCTTCCTTAGGGAGAAACCTGGAGCTAGCGTGGGGATGAAAGTTGGGATAGGACCCAGGGAGAAGGGGGAGCAGGGAGTGGGGAAGAAGACAAAAGCCACGGTGAAATAAAAACAGGGTTCTGGGAAGAAGCAGAGTGGTGGACTGTAAGAGGGGCAGGGTAGGTTCCTGGAGAGAAGGGGAAACAAATGTGGAGATGTCCCTCGGGGAGACTGGGATAACCATGGGGAGAAGGCTGGGGCCCTGGGAGGAAGCGGGGAAAGGACTGGGTTAGGAAATAGAGGGATACGCCTGGGATGAGGGACAAGGGGTTGTGCCTCATCCTGATAGAGAAACAGGGGCTGTGATTCCCAGAGGGAAACAGAGAGGAGGGACATGATGGACAGAAACAGGAGGTCCTCCACAGGAGGGTTCATGGGGTCTCCACAGACATCACCAGGTGACCTCATGAGGCCTGCAGAGGCTGGGGAGCTGCAGCTATACACTTCAGGCCTGCAGCGGAGAGACCAGCAGAGACGGCGTCTGCAGACAGCAAGTGGGGAGAGGGGACAGCTGAGACACTGAGGAACGGGGATGGGCTGAAGTGACTGCACCAGTTGGGAGAGACCTGGAAGCTGACCCTGGCCAACCAGCAAGGGTCACACAGACCCTAGTGACGATGACTCCAGTATTCATAAAACACTTGCTGTCCCATCCCCGTCACTTCCCTCCTGTATCATTTAACTCTCTCCCTAATCATCTGGGGTGTCCCACTGCCTGCCTGTAGGCCCCTCGCTGCTGCGATGATCTACATATCTCTTTCCACCTCCCATAATGCCCTTGCATGGCCCCATGATCCCCACACTATAACCCTCCCTCTGTCCACACATCACCCCCTCCCTGTGCCTCAAATCCCTTCCCTATCCACCATAACCTCCTCCCCATCTCATCCTAACATTCCCTGTGCCCCTTAACTCCCTGTTCCCACAACCCCCTCCCTTTCCTGGTAACTTCCTCCTCATCCCCATAATTCCATATCCACCTAGCCCTCCCAGTCTCCCCACAACCCCCTGGCCATCCTCCTTTCCTGCCCCCCCCCCCCCCCCCCCCCCCCCCGCCTTTAACATCCCCACAGTCTCTGGTCAGTCACCCAATTAATTTAAGGTCCCAACCATCCCTCTAGGTGGCCAGGGAAGTGACCTCTCTCACCCACTCTGCCTTGACTCTGCTTTCCCTTGGGCATTGTGATTGGCGCCTCTCATATAGGGGGGCAGAGTTTCAAAGCTGTTTTTTTTAGTCTGAGCTTCTGATTGGTTCAGTGAATATAGAGGGCCCTCCTCATCTCCTGAGTGGCCTGATGAGTAAAGGAAGTAGAAATTCAGATACTTGCTTTTCCTTTCTCAAACTGAACCACAGATTGTTTGCATCTGTATAAAATGGGCGGGCCTCTGTAACCTGCTTTTTCCAAGTCTGACCTAGAGATGGGTTCCATGAGTGTGAAGGGTGGGATTGACTAATTCATTCCATATAGACTTACTTGTGCTTGGCCTGTGCTGGGCTCTGGGAACCAAAAAGTGACCAAGACAAACAAATCTAGGGCTCTCATGGAATTCACAGTCCATGGGGGAAGACAGAAGATAAACATTCATATGAACAACTAAATAAGAGAATTTTTCAGGTGGCGCAAAGTACTCTGGAAGGAAAGAAATAGAAGGATGTGATAGAGAGGGATGTAGGAAGGAAACTTACGGGGAGAGGGGAGAGGGGTGAGGGAGGTCGGCAGGTTTCCCTGAGGAGGGGACATCTGAGCTGAGACCTGAAAGCTGAGAAGGAGCCAGCCCTGAAAAGATTTGGTGGAAAGAGTTCCAGATGGGGGAACAGTAAGTGCAAAGGTCCTGAGATAGGAAGGAGCCTGGTGTGGTTGAGGGACAGAAACAATGCCAGTACGGCTGGAGTATGGTAAGGGAGGGGCAAGAGGCAGGAGGTGAGGAAGAAGAGGAGGGCTGGGGCCTGCACACCTAAGTGAGGACTTGGGGTTCGATTCTGAGTTGTGGGATTGTTTTGAAGGGTTTAAGCCAGGAAGAGTGCGATACGATTTATGATTTAGACTTTAGAGGCTTTGGGCTGAGGTTTGATGAATGCACAGTGGGCGGGGGATAGAGGAGCAGTATGTTCCTACTCTTCCTGTGGGTTCAAAGAGAAAACTTCAGGGTCCAGGCATGGGGCAGGGGTGTCTGGCATAGGGAAGGTCTCAGGGAAAGTCAACCCAGAAGCGAGTGGGGCAGCAGGACCTTGGAATCTCAAAGCCCTTCCCTCATGGATTCCTGGTTGGTTCCATGTCAACAGCCCTCCAATCTTGAGGACTCCTGCCCCGCCCTTGAATTTTAACTCCAGATTGGCATATTATAGTCTCCCGGAGCTGTCTGTCCCCATTACTCATGGGTGATTGGCTGTGTCTCCTGGGGGGCAGGCCTTTCGAGTGCCCCTCCTGAAGCATCCCCCAGTTGAGACTTGCAGGGTGGTCTCAAGGTCAGGAGAAGCCACTGGGGTGGGAGAAGGAGGCCATTCAGAGTGAAGTGAAGAGCAAGTGGAAAGGTGAGAGGTCAGCAATGGAAGCCCGAAACCTGAGAGTCAAAGGAGGATATTTTCAAGAAAAGGAACCCCATTAACAGTGCCTGTTGGACTGGAAAACCTTTCTCATGGAGCTCTTAGGAGGTTCTCTGTGGCCTTGCTCTCGGCAGTTGTAGAAGAGCAGTCTGACGACACCAGACTCCGGGTGCTTCGGACACAGAGAATAGATGCCTCTGTCCACAGGGTGTCTGAGGGGGGGCGAAAAGAGCAGGGTGCCAACCCATCCCCTCGAGAAGATGGACCGTGGACCCGAAGAGAACCAGGAACTGTGCAAGTCTCCATCCCCCACCAACACGGCGACTGTGTGAAATGCACCCACATTCCACCTTAAACATATGTGTTTATTAGTTTTGTTTTTGCTGCCAAGCATTTGAAATAAACTTTTATGACTTTGAATTTGAACATTCCTGTATGATTAACACTGAATTTACTGAGTGTCGAATGAGGGAATTCACGTAACACAAAGGAATCTGACCTACAAAGTGTTCTCAAACGTTTACAAGGACCAAGCTGAACGATTTAAAAATCGATATTATTTTTTTTTAAGATTTTATTTTTTTCCCTTTTTCTCCCCAAAGCCCCTCAGTACATAGTTATGTATTCTTCATTGTGGGTCCTTCTGGTTGTGGCATGTGGGACGCTGCCTCAGCATGGTTTGATGAGCAGTGCCATGTCCGCGCCCGGGATTCGAACCAACGAAACACTGGGCCGCCTGCAGCAGAGCGCGTGAACTTACCACTCGGTCAAGGGGCCAGCCCCCCAAAATCTATATTATTTTTGATGGAACTAAACTTCTTTGGATTCTTATTTTGTAGTGCTTTGAAGGTAACAAATTGTTTGCAGAGCTAAAACCTTTCTAGGCCTTGGAAAGTTCCCAGACTGAGCACTGCGTCCAGAAGAGGAGGAAGAGTTTGAACCCCTATATTTACCACAAACCTAGAGGAGAAAAACTATCGTGCCTTCCAATGCCTGGTGACGGGCCAGCGCTCCAGAGTCGTAGCTCCCATTGTGGTAGGACTAACGGAAGAGGAGGAG